AAGTAGGCAGGACAGGCTCTCTGGAATGGGCACTCTCAGGAACAAAGTGACCTAAAACACTGACTACCACTGTCTGCCTTGCTCAAAGAAGAAAGATCAAATCATATCATCATCTATGTAAGCAAGTCAGCCAGGACAAGGTAACAAATGCACTATACATTACCCAGAATGAAGTTATACTGTGCAAGCTGAGCATTTCTGATCTTCTTGTTCAGCGTGCACCCAGGATCTACATCAACATCTGCCATTAATCCAGCATCATGGAAGTGCTGCCTGACCTAGGAGAAAAAGGTATTTGAACTGTCACTGTAGGGTATTCACAGCAATGGACTACCTATGACTCGCAGACTTAAGCCAGCCAAGCTTATCTGATCCCCAAGTGAAAGGCCCTGTCACTGGCTCAGGCACTGGAGACGAGCCCAGTTCAGGAAGTGGCAATGGCTGGTTAACGGGCAAGTCACGTGCTCAGCAGCTAAGCAGTGATGTGATTATCTAATGTCCTGGGCTGAACAGTGGCTTGAGTTTGGTATTATGAAAAGGCAGCAGGATAGTGGGGCTTTTTGATTAGAATATTATTTTTTCTGATTTTGCACACTATTTTATTTATGTACAATGTGCTTGAAGGAAATTCAAGGTGAAGGTCTGCTGGATGCTAAATATGCAAAGACCTTTCTCTGTCTTTCTTCCTGCTTTTGCAAGATGCACACAGCCATGGGAGACTAAAACCTGGAGGGTAAGACAGCTTTTGAGCCAGCGAGAAAAACTAAATTTTCAAAGAATAAAAGCCTCACAAAGATCAGCATTTGTTGTTTCAATATTCAAAAATCTATTTCAGGTCCTCTTTAAGATACATGTACAACTTCAGCAACTAATAGTCACCATGATCTAAACATGATAGAATGTAACATGCAAAACTTGTAACACTTATCTGGGATAAATACTGTTAATCATTAATATCCAAGTAGCTCAATAAAATACAATGTACTGAAGATAAAAAAAACCAAAACCATATACATTACCTTCTGAGCATACTCATCACACGTTGGTCCCACTGGTACCACCATTACCTGCTGTGGGGACAGCCAGAGTGGCCTTCAAGAAACAAACAGAACAAGTTTATAGAGCTTCCAGTATTTTTTTAGTATGAAAAAAGCTCTTAACAGATAGGACTAAAGTCTACACAAGAGATTCATAAAGCTAGCTACTTAGACTGGGTTCACAGCTGAAGACAGTCCTATACTCACTACAATTTATCTCCAAAAAAAAAAAAAAACCGGTCTAAAAGAACTGTAGTGTGTACAAAGTAATTTTTGACCTGAAGATTCAAGTTGTGCTTTACAACAGACAAAATAATCGTTAACTGTTGAGTCTTGTTACAATCAGAGGGGTCATCCCCATCAAGTGTGGGAGTTAAAGGAGAAAGGAGATGACCTACATAAATGACTTGCTGCAAGGCAGCCCAGCTGAAAAACCAAAGCTGGGTGACACACACCTTGGGCAGACAAGCTGTACAGTGCAGCTGCATGAGTGGTGGCTACCAGATTTAGAGCTATTTAAGGTCTCAGGAACATGCTTCAGAAGGAATTGCCCTGTGGTACACCTGTGGCATGTCTCTGTAGCAACCACGTCGAAAAACCTCTCCTGATTCTTGCACACTTGGGGCTATTTTCTCTTCTACATAGTGTGTTTGCTCAAACTGGAACAACAGGTCTACTTGAGAGCATTACCATTTGCCTCCATAGTTTTCAGTCAGAATGGCAATCATTCTCTCCACAGATCCCAAGATAGCCCGGTGAATGATAACTGGTCTTGTCTTGTCATTACCATCGTGGCTGTGAAAAAGAGATGCATTGTGTTTGAATGTAAGGTTTCTGCTGTAAGTGACATGAAAGTCAGATCCTATAGCAATTAAAACCACCAGCCTCTGTGCTTACCTGACAAAGGTGAGGTTAAATCTGACTGGCAACTGGAAGTCAAGCTGGATTGTAGCACATTGATGGTAGCGGCCAATGGCATCTTTAATCTGAATGTCAATCTTAGAAACAAAAAGGGACAAACTTTTACTATGATTTAATATACAAGTATGCCCCTCTGAAAGCAAACTGTTTTAAGATGGAACATTTCACGGAATAGAACTATGTGTGGGATTAGACAACATACTTTTACTTCAGCTTACGTTAGGATTTGCAGGTTCTGATGCAAAAAATATCAGAGCTAAAAACAGGGTGAGCAAGTAGAGAGACAATATTTCAGGGAGAACTAAATTTAATACCTCAAACTATATTTTTCTGAGTTTCATTCAGGGACTTCCATGGGCCTTTTCACTGACTGAATTCAGCAGCACTTAGGTGCAAGCACCAAGATCTGAACTGGACACATTTCACCAAAAAAAAAAAAAAGATTCCTTCAACCTGAAACTGGCAATCTTACGTTCCTCTCCTGTGCAGTATCTGAGTATTTTTTAGATTATGTTACAAATGCAGGGCATGAACACGGGATGAGAATCCTAGTGTTAAACAGTCCACTTACAGTAGGGACCATATTAATCAGTGGCACTTGTTCTGACTATGAGTATCTACAGTCAAGCTTACTCTTTCTATTTCAACTTACACTTTAATCCCCAGTACACTTATGACACAATTTAGACAGAGAGACCAAAAGAAAAGAGTAGATTTATAGTGTTCTGACCTCATTTATTTATCACACTGCTCTCTTGTTCATCAGATTACCAGTATGGCTATATGTTGGGGATGTATGCCTTGTTTTAATTTGTGTATCAAACAAACACAGCAGTGTTTTATTAACTCAAATTCTAAATGTCTTTCAATTTTGCATTGAGAAGCCAGAATTTATCATAGTTCAGATACTCCCCATAGAGCTTCTTTCAAAATAATTTATAACCTTTTTTCATTTCAAATCACCCAGGTACAGAGTAAAAAAACCAAAAAATTCAAGTAGTTTAAAGCTACTCTAGTTGTAGAGCTTCACTTAAAGATGTACCTTTTAACTGGCTTCTATTAAAATCAGTGTAAAATGCTACGTTTGCTCACCTGACTTTGGCTAGTGTATTAGGAGCAAGGATAAGGTGAATTAAGGGTAACAAAGGTTCCTGTAGATATTTGTCTTCTTTCAAATCAACTGAGGAAATTAGTAAATCCTGTTTGCATTTCACATTATGAATGATTAGCTGCTATAACACATTTCACCTACAACCCATAAAATTAAATTGATTCAATTAGGCTACAAAGAGAAATCAGAATCAGTTTGCCAGATGACTGAATATAAGCATAAATGTAGGGTAGGTTTATTAGGGAAA